AGAGGGGTAGACAACACACGGAATGGGTCAAGGTTGTAGAGGACGTATGGAAGGGGCTTGACATCGACGAAGATGAAACGCTGGAAACGGAGAATCTACAGGAGTTCAAGGAGAAGATATCTGTTGCTTGTGCCGAGAGAGAAGAACAGTCTAAGGAAAGAATTNACGTATGGAAGGGGCTTGACATCGACGAAGATGAAACGCTGGAAACGGAGAATCTACAGGAGTTCAAGGAGAAGATATCTGTTGCTTGTGCCGAGAGAGAAGAACAGTCTAAGGAAAGAATCCAAGGATAAGGAGGGTCTAGAAGTGTACGGAATGATGAAGGAAGGAATAGGGTTCAAGGACTACCTACATGGACCAATGGATGCAGGGACAAAGCTTAAGGTCAAATTCAGGACCGGGGACATGGGCGTCCGAGAACGTCGACGAAGACATCGGACGGTAGACGACGAAGACGACGAGTTCAAATGTGATTGCGGCTTCGAATGCGAAGACCGTGTTCATGTAGTCGCGGAATGTCCGTTGTACAAGAAGGAGAGGGGAGTGTACGTGACTGAGCTGGGAAAAATAGATAGGACGTACAGGGAGATGTTTGAGGCATAGAATGGAGAGAAAAGGGCGGTAGCTGAAGTGGGGCACAGGAGGTGGTTTGAAAAGGCGGGAAGGGATATCGTTAGGATAGACAGACTAGGGAAGACACTTTTGAGCCACCTTTGGCAAAGTAGAAAGGAATGATTGGCCATCGGTGATCGGTCCTGTGGGAACACTGCTCCGTCCTCTCGAGGACGCGTGGTCAATGGTCTAACCGCTATGGCATGCAAAACGTAAGAGTACGCCCCCCCCCCACTCCGCGTCGCCGTTTCCCATTGACGGCCCCTTCCACGAACCGTTCACGTCCCGCATTGAAATACCAATGGTATGTACGCAGATGCTCCCGGGAACGACTCTCCAGCCGGACCCCAACGAGACGCCGCCGCCGCTGCCCAGACCCGCAAACGCTCGTGCGGTCTCCCCCCCGCCCCCTCCCCCCATCGCGAGACCGCTGGGTGGTTCCTCCAGGGGGGGGCTGTCGGTAGGGGGCGCGCGGCCCAAGCCGTCCGGCAGCGCGAAGAAGAAGGCCCACAAGAAGCCGCTGCCGCCACCGCCGTGAGTGTTGGTGTGTGTGTGTGTGCTCGTGTTTCTTACTGGCATCGACCGCGCTAGTGGGCTTGCCAATGAAAAGTCGTCGGTCTCAGAGTGTGTGTATTTGTGCGTGTTTCTTGTGAGCATCGGCGTCGCTAACCAGCTGACCAATGAAAAGTCGTCAGTCTCAGTGCCGTTGAAACACAAAATGCTTCCAAAGGCGACAATGTGGGACCTTGTGATTGTGTGTGTGTGTTTCCATCACTCTAGATCAGAGCTCACACGCACAGCATTTCTGCTGCATGGGAGCTGCATTTCATGGTCACATTGAAGGGTTCCTCCCCCTGAGAACCCCTACCGCCTACCCTCGTCCTGTGGTGCTTGCCGTTTATTTAATGGGTATGAGTTTTTTGTGCTGTTGGATGTTGCAATTTTGCTCTGCTATTGTGGTTTTGCTGCTGTCGCTTCTGTGGCCGCTGCTTCCTTTGCCGGTGCCGGTGCTGTTCTGTGCGTTTTTGCGTGAGTTTCGGCGTCTCGCGTATGTGGCATAGACGTTTGAGCCTCCCTCGCCACGAACGGTGTGCATATTAAGCCGTGCTGAAGACTTGATGCTGAATACATGTTCCTCCGGCGTTCCGCCCATTGGCCCCTCGATTGTTGCCTGTCATTTTGCTTGTCGTAGTTTTGATGTTGCTCTGAATGTGTGAATGTTGAATCCGAAAACCTTGCCGTCACACACACCAGGCGAAGGTGTATCAATTCTGGTGAAAGTCAATCGACGGAGACCCTTCGAATCGGGTGCTCTTCAACACTCTCCACCCACGGCTTTGCTGACTCAACGGTGGTTCTACTCCCTCCTGATGTGACCCCCCCCTCCAATTTGCGTTGCCCCTCACGCAGGGCCAGCAAGAACGGGCTCCCCGGTCCCCACGTCAGGACCCTGAAGGACTGCCTCATGATGCTGAAAAAGAGCGATAAGAACAATGTCTTTCAGTACCCGGTGCCCCCGAACTTTCGTGGTCTGAGGGGGATGTACGCTGACGTCATCAAGAACCCCATGGACCTCGGCACTGTCATGAAAAGGATCGACTCCAAGTACAGGTAAGCTACAGGTGGAGAAGTATTCTCGTGTCTCTTGCTCTCGGTCATCTGTTGGTAAAGGTGATGTACGCTTCGATACATGAAGAGCGGCTGGCGGAGGATGCGGAGTCTCCGCGGTTCTCACCTCAGATTCATCTTACAGCGCTACTCGACTTTTTTTGTTTTGCTGTTGGTCTTGCAGATCATCACACAGCTCTTCACATTCCCTAACACTCCCTCCTCGGTTATGTTGTTGGTTTTGCAGGACCGCCAGAGACTGCATCGCGGACGTGCGACTGGTGTTCTCAAACGCCAAGGACTTCAACCCGGACACGGACCCCGTGCACGCTCTCGCCGCATCCCTCTCGGGAAAGTTCGAGGCTTTCGTATCGGGACACCGGGGCGTTCTTGGGTAAGCACTGTAACACTGGCCCTCTCTCGCTGTCGACGTTGATGTCCAGGAGTGTGGTTTGTGCGCGTGCAAGCGTTCTTGGGTGTTGGTGGTGGCTAACAATCAGCTGTTCTGGCCGTAAGAGGTGCTCCTCTTCTATATCTGTCCACGCGAAGCGAAAGGCACGAAACGTAGCCTGGGCCGGCGAAAGCCCGGCATATCGCTCCGTCCCGGCATGGTACGAATGCGGGGTCTGCCTACTGCCCGAGGCATGCATTTGTACAGTCCCTGTCGGGGGGTGCATGCTCAGTGGCGTGCATGCAAGAGGCTTCATCCCCTCCCTGTCCCCCATATTTCTTATGGCGGTCAGGTTGGATGCTTCAGCCCCTACCTCCTCTTCGGGGGGAAGCAAGTCCACCATTACGGCACCATCGATTGCGCTTCCCAGCTCTGCCGGCGCCAGCGCGATGGGCAAGCGGGCAAACGTCCCTCAAGCTGCTGCTGCTACTACTGCTGCTACTGCTGCTGCTGCCGTGAAGGAACCCGCTGTGGCGGTGCTCACGGCGGAGGAGCAGGAGCAGTTGGCAAAGGATGTCGAGGAGCTTTTCCGGGTGTGTATGTATGCATGATGCATGTTTGTATGCCGTGCCTGCTGTGTGTTGTTGGTAGCGGTGATGGTTGTGGTTTGTTGTGGGCGACGTGGTCTTAGTAGTAGTCGTCGTTGTTGTTGCCATTGTTGCTGCTGTCGCTTGTGTTATTGCTGCTGCTATTGTTGCTGTTGATGTTGTTTTTGGTGTCGCTACTGTTGTTGCGGTCGCTGGTCTTGTTGTCGTTGTCGTTGTTGCTGTTGCTGTTGTTGTCGGTGATGCTGCCGGTGTGGTTTCGAGCACGACATGCACAAAGGGACAATCAGCTTCTAGCTTCGTGTAGAGGCGTGTAGAGGCGTGTAGAGGCGTGCCCCCTCCCCAAGGACGCGAAGGCGATGCGATGCCGAAGCGTGTTTGGTGCGCCGCGCTTGGTGACACTCGTGGTTTTACCAACTTTACAAACACAACTAGGCATACATCGAGTTTGTTAGAGCGTCTTCCGTATATCTACGATCGATAACGTGTGTTCATTTGCTGTGGGTAATGCCGATCCGTTGAATGAGTGATGGCTGGATTTTTCAAGGCAGGTTAGCTTACTTTCTGCGTTTTGTTACCGTTGTTCTTTTCTCTTCTTTTGCACGTAGCAAACTCCGACCCGTTGAACCGGAATCGTTCTTCTTTTGTTTTTTCTCTCCTGATTGGGCGTATGCAGCTTTTCTTCTGTTTACGTTCGTCT